GACATTTAGAAGTTTTGTTAGATTTTTAATGGGTAAAGGGCCCAAGGACATAACTAATCTTGAGATGCAAATTGTGAACTTTTACTAAAGAAATTATATTTTTTATTAGCCTGCAAGCAAGCTCTCCATTTAAGGCGAGCGAAGCAAGCCATGAGAGAAGGCGCGAGTGAGAGGGGCTGAGGAAAGGAGAGCTTTCAATAATCTCTTATAAATTGTCATTTCTGCTTCGCCCAGACGAAGCGAAATACTATTGGCTAAAAAATGACGCACCGTCAATTAATTTTGATTGAAGACATTCCTGGCTGACCGACCATTACTGATTACCGTACTTTTAGAAACACTATGCTTTTTTTAAATATGGATTACTCCTTTCTCTAGCAAGGAACAAGATCACTTATCGGTGAATGATCTCAATTAAGGACTGTGTGGCTATATTTTATACACTGTTCAGTTTGGATCTCAACCCGTTGGGAAAATATAAACCGGCAAATCAGAAGGCTGAGAAAAGGTTGCCAGGAAAACATTACGATACAAAATCTCACCGCATTTGTTGTGTTTAAAAGTTTCCTAACAACGAAATCAGTTGGTTTCATATCCAAGTGGATGCGTGGTAGATAGATCTCCTCAAGAAAAAAGAAAACCATAATTGCAGTGAAGCATAAAACATTTTTTGATGCAGGAAGTAATGAATGCGATTTTAAGTGTCGCTGAGGTTTAAACAGCTAGGATGCAACAGCTTTGCAATTGAAGCATCATGTCTCCACTGAATTCAAGGAATATTGTAGATCAAAATCGGCTTATGTGCTATGATCCAGACTAGAAGGTCCAGACCAATAATATTGTCTTCTTTTAGTAGTCTTATCTTTGTGCGAAATTGTAATCTTTTGCTCCTGGAAAGGTTAGCATAACTGGCATGCTCAGCTTAGCCTAATGCTGGTAACTGACAATGGCTGACACATTTCTTGTTTCTGGTGACAGTTTTCATGCTTTGCAGTTTCCTGCAGTTTCCAGGGTGGAAATGAAAATTTATGAGAGATCGTTACAAGCTCTCCGTTTCTTCCCCCGCCCCGCGCACTTGTGTCACCTTTAGCATGCTGCTCTTGCATGACTTTTCACCACTGCCCCAAATGGAGAGCTTGCTCGCAGGCTACATTTTTGTATAATATTCTTGATATTTTATGTGATATCATGTTTTATTGTTTTTATTGTCTCTTTTAAGCGTAACAATAGGAATCTAAAATGTTTCTATCTAGAAAGAAATGTTCTCTTAACTGATGTTTCAAGTGTAATTCTCTTACCCTTTGTTTCTAGGCACTGGTGTCACTGCAATTGCAGTTGAACAATCACTGCCGACAGCAAAGAATTTTAAAAGAAAAATGGAAGAATTGTGCAATTGAGCAAGAAAAAGAAAAGCAAAAGCAAGAGCAGGCAAGGTTATTACAAGAGCAACAAAATAGAAAAAAAACTGAAAAGGAACTTCCGTTAACAGCGACAGTTAAAAACAGTTTAGATCTGGTTGATGGCAAAAAGGGGACAGAATGTTCAGAGTCAAGCAGTTTAGTGATATCAGCGGAAAACTTCTCTGTTTCATCAACTAGCTCTGCATCTGACTGTGCAGCTTCTAAAGATGAGAAATTGACCATACAGGATCTCAAAGGACAAGTCAATGACCTTCAAATGCAAGTGCTTTCTCTTAGTCAAAACTTAGAGGACTGCAATAGAGAAAACTCACGATTAAAGAAAGCTTTAGAAAATGTGCGTGAATTTGTCAGGTGTAAATTTGGTTATGAACTTGAGGGTGATTTGTTTGACATGAAGAGCCCTCGTATTTCTGAATCACAGGACTTCACAAGTTCAGACATACATGTAAAAATGGTTAAATCTGGAAGCCAAGCTTCATTACATGAGGACATCAAGGTGGAAAATGCACAAGATGAGATGGGCAATGATAGTGATATTGATGAAGACATTCCTTTGCCTCCACTAGAATCTCCACAGTTTATTTTATGAACAGTACAGTGGAAAATTCAGTCACTTATTAGTGAATGGAGTTTAGCATTTGAACTTAATATAAAACATACAGAGTGAAATCCAAAAATAATCCCTCCATTGATCCCCTCACAATGATTTGAACAGAAGTTACTGGCTACCCTGATCCCCAATCTTGATGATGCAAAGCAATATTGAATTCTTTTTGACAGGTCCTAGTTGTTTAAGAGTTGGATACCGCTATCTACCAGATAAATCACCATTTAGCGGATAAGTGTTCGAAGAAACAATAATCTAATTGCTTTATCCTGCTGGCTAGAAATTTATCCAGTGGATGGGGCTATCTACCTGTTGAACAATGGGGGCCAGGAGGTTTAAAAGACAGCAGAATTCCAATTCTTGGGCAAAATCAAAGATTGTCATTTTGCATTTCTGCTTTGACTTTTTCCAAGAAATTATATATTTTCCCAAAGAAGTTAATCTAAGTATTTAATTAGCCCTCTAAAATTTATCACGCGACCCTCCTGCTAGAAGTGGTAGGCAACAGCAGAATAATCAGGTTATAGTGTTAGTCAGCAACAACTTGTGAACTTGGCCGCAAAGTTGCTTAGAGTATTTCAACTCCTTATCTGAAAGGTCATGGGTTTCTTTTTAAATTAATTCAATTTTTTGACCTCAGCATAACAGATTATTTGTAGACATAAGCCAGATTGATATCCCTGTTCTGCAAGGCATTAATAAGGCTGCAAATGATCATGAGAAACTGTGAGATGCAAAATTATCAGCTGCCAGTGCATTTTCATGGCATTGAAGGTGGTTGCATTGGATATAAAGACTAAGGGTATTTACATGAGTAAAAAGGTAACCTTTATATGTAACTTTGGTCAGTAATATTTGCAGAAGACAGTTTTTGATTAAGTTATGTACAAATAAGTGACTTGTGAACTTGTGTCCACTGACATAAACCACAGAAAAACGGCTTTTTGTAAGTGGGAGATGACCAGTATTTTGTTTTAAAATGAAGATGAACTTTTGACTTAAACATGGATACCCTGTCAGTGCAGAGACTTTCTACTGTCCCCTAAGTACCCGTATTAGAGTGGAACCTTCATATAACAAGCGTCTATATAACGAAGTCCTTGGTATAAATGTGCGTGATAGTAAAATAATTATATGAAAAAGGACCTTGATATGACAAAACCTTGTTACAGCAAGCAAATTTTGCCTGTCCCTTGGCCCTTCTTTATATCGAAGTTCCACTGTAACAGGATTCAACTGTGCGATGATTTTCTTTTCACACTACTGTACTCTCTCGCAGGATATGAGACACATGAAGAATATAAATCTGGTAAAAGCACTATTTTATTTCACAAAAATACTACAAGTGTACTTATCACTGTTGTACTGCAAAGACCGCAACAGAGGAACAAACATTCAAAACAGAGTATCGCACTATTCCTACTAGACAACAAAAAAACCATAATTTTGCATAGCTCAAGAATGCTACCCTGCGAGCAGTGCTTTCTCCAGGCTGGATACGAAGTGTCCCAGCCTGGAGAAACCACCACTTGCAAGATACAAGAATGCAAGCACATGGTGAACTATAGCTTGTTCACAGACATGTGCATGAAGGCCATAACACTATTAACCAATAATTATAGTTGTATGCATTGTACGGATTTTGTTCATTATTGTAAATTATGTTCAAACGCATGGGTATTCATCATTAAAATCTATGTTCTACCTAGTTACTAAGTTACAAAAATTATTACTTTCCCTAAAATCATTCTGTGTTCTTTAAAGTTGTGTACTGATAATTTAATGTTTGGAATAATAGTCTTTTCGTGTGGCATCTTTGTACATTAATAGTTATTATAACAAGAATGACAAAATTTAATGTTGTCATTGATCATAGCAATGTTCCCTCCAATAATACCATGCCCAAACACTCATTCACATTTTCATTACAGGAATGCACTTCACCGAGGAAGCACTTTCCTCGTTTTACTTCCAGATTTTGGCAGATGCAGTAAAAACCCGCAACTAAGAACCTAAAAATTAAGAACCTGTTAGCCTAAAATTGGTCATTTATATCCCCTATAAACAAGAACCTATTTAGCCTACGAAATTTAAAACAGGTTCTTATTTTCTAAAATCATACTAGTACATTACAGCTGCATTGCAAGAATCATATTTGAAGCAAAAAAAGCAGATTGCCATTGTTGTAAAAATGTTTTTTAAAGAAAAATGAGTGCAAGATATGTAGACTTACAAAGCATACTAACTACTTTTTCTCCAAGATTAAGAACCCATTTTAAGAACCTAAATAGCCTAAAATTCTGCTAACTAGCATTTATATAAGAACCTGTTTAGGCTAACTCCTAAAAATGTAGGTTCTTAGTTGCGGGTTTTTACTGTAATGCACACAAAGGAAAGTCTTAACTGTTTATAAAGACAGAAAATAGCATGACATAGCCTAACCATCCATGGACACTACAATTTAGGTAGGAGTCTGTTATCCTGGAGAGGAACATGGGAGTCACAAAACATTTTAAACACTTTTTTTGTTAATAAATAAGCAAAAGAGTGGGGTGCTTTCCTCTTTTTACATGAGCATTGTTACTTCAGTCGAAAGCACAAGAAATTAACTGAACCAAATCATGATACTGTACCAATAAGCTCTGTATAAAAACTTACAAACATTAAACATAAAAAATTTTTATGAACACCATAGTTTTGTACATTAGTGATATATGATTTTGAAAAATAATAATAGATTTCTAAAAACTACATACTACAGTGTATAAGAATGGTGGTCAATGAAATTAACAAGATACCAAAATAGAAGGTGACATGAACACATGTAAAATGTATGTTTTGACCATTTGAGAATTTTAAATATCGAACAATCAACTCCTGTTATTGTAAATACCCTCAGAACCATGGCCTACAGCTGTAGTATCCTATAATAGCTACAGCCCTGCACTAAATTAAAAACCTCTGGCTAAGTTTAATAGCAGGAGTGTACATTATATTTCAGTCAAACATTTTGTTAATGATCTTCAAAGGGGATTTAGCTGTTGTTGACATCATTGGGGTGTCTGTAATAGCAATGTCTACATGGTGAGAGGTAAATTTTCATGTACAGTGCATGACAAACATTTCAATTTTGCCTCAATTTGCGATCTTCTAACATAAAGTGAACTGTTACAGCTAAGCATGTTTATTATTAGTACATGAGGTCTTTATCTTCACAATGGACTTGACAAAAGGTCTTCACTGTACTCATACTTAGGGCTATAAGCCAGAGATTTCCTGAAGTAAAGAGGTACAACTTGTTCTCTTTCCTTGCTAGACTTTTTCCTCAGTTCTAAATCATCCACATTGAATGAAAAAACCACTTCATCATCGTCATTAACTCCTCTTGCAGTCTTTTGTGTTGCGGTCTTTTGCGTTGGTTGTTCATGATTAACATGACCATTCATATGCCTGAATTCAGGGACTTGCCTCTCACTTTTAACAGATCGACTTGTGTGCGGTTCCTCAGTAATATGTGGTAAATCAATATAGTCATTACTTCCTCTTTTGGGAATACCTTTGCTTGATGTTGGTGGGCGACCTCTACCCTTTGGCAAAGGAGCAGAGAGTGCCCTGTCACCATAAATAGACTCAGGATAAGTTCTCGCTAAGGGAGCTTCATGAAGTCTCGACACGTGCATTTGTGGTAATGGTCTTCTAACGTAGCCATTTGGCTGCCGCAAATGGTCATCCCTTCTTACCACAACCATGCCATCATGTTTGAGTGGTGGACGAGACCTAATTGCTTGGTTGTGATACTCCTTTGCTCTAATAGTTGGATACACAAGATTAAGATACAACTTCTGGTCTACTCTGAGTTGCCGATCACGATCATTTGGTCTGGCTCCCATTCCATAGATCACTGGAGGGTTTATAAGTCCCATATAAACATTCTGCTTAGTCTTCATTTGCTTGTAATTACTGTTTGTTAAACCATACAACTCACTCTCCGTAGGCTGTCTAACTTTCCTACTCTTCTTACCTGCTAGTAAGTCTGGATTACTCATCAAATATTCTCTGACATCACGCATTGTGCGACCAGGTGCATAGAAACTAGAAGAACTCTGTGAAACCAAAGCTCTAGATCCTACACCTCTTGGTGTACCATATGCAGAACGTGAACCACTTCCAGCCCAAGAACCACGTTCCATACTCCCATGATAGCTGCCTCTATTTCCTGGATAACTGCCAAAATCCCTGTTGCTATAGTAACTATGTCGGTTTACATCTTGTCTTCTTAGTTCCCGTGGTTTTGTGTGAGTTCCATTAAAAGTAAAGGCTCTTGCATCCTGATGAGCTAGTGGGCTTGAGGGTCTGAAGCTTGACACACTGGCTGTATCATCTTCATTTCCATCTCTTCCACCACTGGCTGAATGTCTTGACCTTTGGGAGTGTGGTAATTCCTCTCTAGTACGGTACTTTCTTGATGAATGTGCTATGCTTGCAGAGATGCCCATATTTCAACAGTAACTTTTTTCTGGAATAAGAAAGAATTTGTTAATGTTAATAAAACAAAGCAAATGTCCCTAAAGAACACTAATGAAATACCATAACATCATTACATTTGAAAATAACATGTTATCTTCACAGGTGGAAAGATCACATCTGTTATGACTACATGACAAAAAAAAATCTTTCGCAGCAAAAAAGTATTTTAAAGTGAAATGGTTTGGTATCTCATTGGTTTTTGCATAATAAACAGAACATTACATGGCCACATCGATATACAAAATTTCTCTTCTTGTTTTGAGGAATCTTTCACTTGTTCACTTCACTCACTCGTGAAATATTTTTTAACACTCGAAGAGAAATTTTGTGTCTCTGTATGACCATGAAATATCCACTATATATCCTTAACTTGCCTGAAAACAGGCAAATGACGACACTGTAACATCCATCAAGGTAAGCATGTTTTAGCTTGATTTTAAAGTAGGAATTATTTTGACTGAAAAATAAAATAATTATTTGATTGGCCTTTCGTATGATCTGAAGAAATGTACAAATCTTAGAGGGTGATATATGCCTCAGCCTTGCAGCCTCGGCCAATATTATAAGACCCTCCTCCATCTCCATATTTCTTCAGATCATACTCAGCTTTATCCAATGATTGCCTAGATTATATACCACAAAAAAAAAAGAAGTAAAAAATATAATTTATCTTTTCCTGTCTCTCCGTCTTTATAAAACAAAACAACTCAAGACCACTACAGTGTAATTTGCACTGGTAAAATATCTGTTGGTACCTAGAAATGGAGCGTCAAAGAAGGTCAGGATGTTTGAAGTTTGTCAAATAGAATGTTTACTTTTGCAAGTGGAATGCGAATAAGCCATAAATTTAAACTATCGTTGACAGGATAAACTAGAACAGGCCAAACTAAAAGATAAAATTCTATTTGGGTTTCAAAGAAAAAGAAGGACACATTGTCAACCTGTGAAAAGCTAAGTCGTTAATGTATTTCAAAATACAAAAAGATTTTTCCAGATCAATGCTTTGATGTACATGTCAGCAGCTGAGTCGATAAAGAGCCATGATTCGGCGTCGGGAAAGCGTTTGTAATAATTCTCGCGTGCAAATTCAAACTTCAAAAAGGCAGACCACCTCAAGTAAGTTACCATCGAAATCAATAATTTCAGCAAAAGATAAAACTTTAAATTCCTCAAATTTCGATCGAACGATACAAGTAGGTGCGTATATAAATGTTTACACAAACTACGCACTAATTTTCCTTCCGATTTTTCAAGTAGTTTGGTTTGTCATTCGTGAAGAGTGAACTAAAAATATTCAAAGTCGGCAATGAACCCATCTTGTAGTTATAACGAAAAAGGAATGTCAACTTTCTACGAAGCAATTAATGCTGTAATGCTAAAGAAAAGAAAGACACAAGGCAATAAATAAAGCTGGTGAAGCACGAGGCAATAACATAATTATTGACAGTTTTGTGCATTCAGTGCAATCACTAGAACTTTAAGGCATCAGAGTGATGAGAAATGTTATCTTTTAAATGGGAAGTCAACGATTAAAAGTTAATCGGCTAGGGGAAATATAATCATTTCTTAATCAAAATGGCGTGCGAAGCTTTATAAAGATTTGGAAACATACAGGAGTTTCGAATTTCACGTCAGAAAATCTTGACGCAGGGGTATTCGCCGGCCGGTTTTTGTAGGTTTTCAAACAATCGTAGGCATACTTTCAAGTTTAGGCGACTTTTTGAAGAGGAATGTCCTTGAGAAGAAAACGTACGGTCTCTAATTAGAATTTATATGGGTGCATGGTTACCATCGAAACATTCAAGAGTGTACAGTTCATTAAGATAACCCGACCTCATTAGTTCAAAGCTTTCTCTAGTTCTAAGAGACAAGTGAAAAAAATATCATCACTTTACCTGACAGGACACTGTTAATGATCCATTTTTTCTCAAGAAGTGCTCAATCTATTTCACTCTAGAGAACAAAATGATAAATCCGCCTTTTGTTGTCCTGACTTTTGGCGTCTTCTTTGCGCGTAATTGCACCAACAATGCACTGCGCTCGCGTATTTCATTACCAGTCTCCCGCCGTTGCCTCCAGCTTCGGCTAATGGCGGAAGCATTCGGTTGGGAGGTGTACTGTGAGGAGCGAAAATCCATCTCAATCGCGCAAACTGACTTGCCATCCTGCAATAACGGAACTGGACCAAGTAAATAAGCAACTTAAGATTATTTAGTGGCCATGTATGACCCCGATGATGGTAAGAACCGCGTTTCTGATAAAGTTGTTTTTATTGACCGACAAAAACAATTCTGTCAACGCACGCAGTTTCATCGTAACTTCTTGCATTTGTCGTAGATATTGCTTATGGAGAGGATGAGGGAGAAGAAATCACCCGGGATCTGTGGCAGGAGGCCTGCTGGATCGTCATCAGTTCGTATTTTGACGAGAAGGGCCTCGTTCGACAGCAGTTGGATTCTTTTGACGAGTTTATTCAGATGTCTGTGCAAAGAATTGTTGAAGATTCCCCTGAAATTGACCTCCAGGCGGAATCACTTCACATGACTGCAGATACAGAAACTCCAGTAAGTTGCATTTGGCATTCGCACTACAAGTTCCCTCAGTGTTTTGGCAAGTGAGAGACAGATTTGATGATTATGAGTATCATGCATTTGTAGTATTACCACAAATTTGTGGCTGTGTATAAAACTGGGACAGGGGCAAGGGGACGGGGACATTGAGACACGAGTGTGGGGACTTGGGACATGGGAGTGCAAGACGAGGGACTTGGGGACATCAAGTAGGGGACGCGGGGACATGTGGGATGGGGACGCTGGACGTCAAATACAGGGACGTAAGGGACGCGAGGACATTAATGATTATTGCAAAAGTTGGAGGTAAATATTATTAGATTCCATCGTCCAGAACCACATTTTCCTTACTCTGTGTGTTGCGAATTATGTGTCATTTGCCTAGTTGCCTTGTAACAGTGCAGGGAACATACGTGTACTTTGTTAGTCCCTTGGCCCTTTATTTTTGTCATGGTCTCACTGTACTGGTAGTAACCAAATCTCACTTCAATTCTGAGTCTTGATTAAGTTTTTAACATTATACTCCTATTTTTTCAATAGCCCCGTTTCTTGCTAAAATTTGAACAAATTTACTTGTCTAAACCAACCCACTGGGAAAAGGATGGTGCCCCAAGTCCTATGATGCCAAATGAAGCAAGGCTCAGGAATTTAACGTAAGTTCTGCCCGTATACCTCACATTGTACCTGCTTATCACCTTCATACCAGCCAAGGTATAGGTGCTTACTGACAGTGAAAATAAATAATTTTATTGGATGTGATTTTTGTGATAACACTTATCAAGACCTTGATTATTACATCACAAAACCAAATCGATTATTATTTCATTGTACTGTGGAACCCTGTCAATATACTCACCAATGGGCCCAAAAAATTTGGCTGCATTAACAGGGTGGCCATATTAACTAGGGTTTTTTTTACAAGAAAATGTATGGCGGTTTTTGCCAGGCGGTCAAAAAAAAGTGGCCGTA